CGGCGGGCGGGGCCTGGACCACGTGGCCCTCGGAGGGGCGGGACCGGAACCGCGTGAGCAGGGGAATGGGCGGGGACTTGCTCCTCGGGGGAACGTTCCTCGAGCAGGCCTTTGGATTCAGGCGTTTCCGGCGGAGTGGCGCGAGCCCGGCGGGGGCGTGGGGGGGGGCCCGCAAAGAGGCCTGGCTCCCAGGCCGGGGCCACCCGACCTGAACAGGGTGCGGGAAGCCGAGGTCTCCTGGGGAAACTCTGGGCGCCGCAGCAGAATCTGGCCTCCCCGCCCCCGGGGCGTTGGTGCCGCCTCGGTTACTGTCATTTGCCCAAAGCATCCTGGAGGGGTGCGGCTTATCCCGGATCTAGAATCCGACCCAGTTTGTATTTTCCATCTTCTGCACACCATAAGGCAAGTTCCCAAATTTTACTCCTTTTAAAGGAAGGGTGAGCAAATGCCGTCATTATTGTGCTCATAATCTGACTTACGGAGTTGTAACCTCTTTGTACGACTAGTAACTTTTTAAAAAAGTTACTCCTTGGGCTGGGAAGGTGGCTCAGTGGTAGTGTGCTTGCCTAACACGCGTGAAGACCTGGGTTCCATTCCTCAGCACATAAACACAAAAAGCTGGAAGTGGTGCGGTGGCTCAAGTGGTAGAGTGCTAGCCTTAAGTAAAAGAAGCTCAGGGACAGTGCCCAGGCTGAGTTCGAGCCCCCAGATTGGCAAAAAAAAAAAGTTATTCCTTTAGGGAGAATATACTTGGGGCAATCCTCTGAACATCTGAAGTACTTTTTATCAAAATGAATTCCAGGAAGTGGAAACTTGTTTTACTCGGGAGAGCAAAGGGGAACACAGGAACAGAGGGAGGGTGGACAAATGCAATCATTGCAGTCAATATACACAATGTAAAAAGATAAACTATGCAGCTTGGGGGTAAGGACAAGAAGGGGAAGGGGAGAATGAAGGAAGGGGTGACATTGCCCAAAAATCATTGAACTCATTACCTGACTTACAGAATTGTAAACCTCTTTGTACAAAAGTCATCATCATCATCATCATCTGCTCCTTTAGTAGCTGACATGTAGGAAGGATTCATTATTTACCAGGTGAACAAGTTCTGAGACAAACTGGTTAAACATGAAGACAAAGCATGCCATTAAGAAAATGAGGCATCAAAGAGAAGGTTATGGGTATGAGCCAAATAATGCCAGAGGGAACGCTCAGTTTGGCCTTTTATTGGGCAAATTCTTCATCCTTCAGCTCAGTGTCCTCAACTGTGAAATAGAGATATTGCCCTTGCAGAATGAATGTTAGGATTAATAAGATTCTGTGTGCTGAATGCTGGAAACAATCCCTGTCCTCCCGTGGCCATTTCCCCGAACCTAAGCCCAAGCAGCAGCCTCAAGACTCCAGCGTGGCATCACCACACTCAAGCTCTTCTTAGTGTCTTTATTAGTTTGTCAGCACAGTCAACTCTCTCTACATAGACAAGGGCTTTTGTTGTTAGACATTTTGTCATCTCCAAGCCTCATGACATGAGCCACCATAATACACAAAATTAGGCTCTTTGTACAGAGAAGAAAATAATAAACTCCATTAAAGTTCACCTTAATCAAAGAGACAGCCTCCAATGGAAAAACCACACACAGGAGGACTCAATATACATTTATATATATAGCATAGATATTTATAGTTATCTCATCTGAAAGAACACAGCAAGAAAGAAATCAAATACTCGCAGTGCTATCTACAGTAAGAGGGATTAATTCTATCAGTTTTAAACAGTCACATTCAATATTCAAAGAAAGCACGTGAGCAAACAGAACTAAGAATACACTCCACCAGGCTCTACAGCAGTCTAGTAATGGCTTAAGAGTATAGAAGAGTGGCCTGTGCCAGGAAATGTGGATTTAAATGACCTCTTGGCCTCAGAACACCCCCTATAAAAACCCACACAAACCCTCCCCTCTCCCTTACAGCCCTTCATTTTTTTCAGTGTGTCCTGTTGGTCGGGTTGTGACAATGGATTGAGAATCTGGGACAAGGGCTCTGTTTTGGGGGCCTGGGAGATTCTCCCTGGTAAACTGGGAGGTAGGGGAGTAGAGGGCACAGTCCTGGGCTGCGGGGGCCAGGAGTGCATGGGAAGCCCTTCTCTTCTGCCTGGCCCTTATTCAAGGACTTTCATTTCCCAATGCAGGACCCAGCAAATCCCAGCCTATTCCAGTGGCCAAAGGTGGGTGGTATCTTGTCTTGAGCCAGATCTCGCCAGTCAACCTGTTTCCCCAGTGATGGCTGCAGGACTCACTGGCACAGCTTGAGCGGGGCTCTACCGGGAAACACCGGGAGACTACCATGTGGCTTGGCCTCTTAGACAACAGGGCATCTACAGGACTCTCAGTCACCGGCCATTTTACCTCAAATCTCTCAGCAGCTACACACAGCACAGGAGCAATCCCAGACTATCCCTCTGTCCCAGGTCATTAGGAAGACAAAAGCAGGTGATTTCTGCTAGAACACCCTGGCTCAGGATGGGAGAGGGCCAGAAGGTGGCAGAGTGTGTGGGGGGGAGGGGAGCGGGGAAGAGGAAAAGCACTGGACTTTCTGTCCCGCGCGGCTTCCATGTTTCATCTCAGTCCCAGAGAGCACCAGGAAAATGGCTGTCCCCATCACAGCGCCCCCTTGTGGTTACCATCCACATGATTGTCACCTGTACTACAAACCTGAAAAGTGTGCTTGGTGGTGGAGGGGTTGAGGGGAGGAGGCCTTCAGAGGCACAGGGCTCCTTGCTGCAGCTTCCTGTCCCCCACATCGGGAGTGTGAGCTCAGCATCCACCATCTCAAAACTGCGCCCATCTTCAAACCTGCCTGCCGGGGGTCTTCCTCCTACCCTGCTCTTGCTGGCCTCCGTTCTTAGAGGACTCGGGCCCTGTCCGAGGCTCCCCTCACAGTGCCAGAGTGGGGGTAGGGAGGCGCATCAGCCACGTGAACACGCTGGGGGAGACGGGCTGGGGAGGAGGTGCCCCTCAAACCATCTCAGACTGTTCTACTGCAAGCATCAAGTTGGATCCCCTCGTTTAAAAAAAAAAAAGAAAAAAGAAAAACAACCTTCATCTCCTCCCCTTTACCCTCACAAAAAGAAACTAAAGGAACAATGAGCCGGCGCAGGGGTGGCAGGGGGACCCCGCTAGGTGGGCATCTTGGGCAGGATCATGAGCTTCAGCAGGACACCTCCATGGTGTGGTTGACCTGGCCCAGCCCCTCACTGCTTTCCGAGTGAGTGCAGGCCTGCGGGCGGCTGCCCTCCACCGAGCTGGCGCTGGTGAGGGAGGCGGTGCGAGAGCGTGCCAGACGGGTCATGCTGGCAGAGGGCACTGTGGACACAAATGAACAAGTGTGAGGACCAGCACGTAGGACCTGGCACCAGCAGGTAGGACATGGAAAATGCAAGCGAAGCGGCCAGCAAGACCCAGCCTAACGATGGCAGAGAGGCCCGCCCAAAGCCATGGGACTGGGCTCCTTCAGGCCTGTGGCATGCAGAGCCAGCCGCGGTAACTGAACCGAAGGGGCTGTGGCCAGCAAGGGCCTGCCTTCCAATGGCTGTCCAGCTATGACTGCACCCTTGTGGTGAGCAGGGATGGGCTGTCTTGTCAACTAGGCCTCTGTGAAGAGGATGATGGGCGGGAGGCCGGATCGCTTCTCTAAAGAAGATGTGGCGTCCTGGCTCCCAGCTTGCCTTGGATTCTGCTTCTGACCTTAATTCTCAGTCCTGCAGCTGAGAAGCCTGAGGAAGTAATACTACCCTTCTGAACTCCACCTGCCCGGCTTGGCCAGGGCTACATACAGTGCCTGCAAGGTTGGCCTGACTACATTTGAGGAGGTTCTGCTTCTAACTCCCAGAGCTCTGAAAGTCCCACAGCCTGTAGCAGCTCAGCAAGGCCAATAGCGAGCCTCCAAAGGAGACACAGCCCAGGGTGGCTCTGGGTGTGTGGAAGAGTAGGAGTCTGCTGGGGTTCTGAGTTGAAGAGAACACAAAATTCTAAACCACAGCAAGATGCGGCCTGGCTGCAGCACTGCACAGAAGGAGCAGGGGGGGGGGCGGGGAGGGAAGGCGCGGCTGGGAGGGGTGTCCATGCATCAGGAGAGGGGCCATGGGGCTACCTGCTCCTCCACTCAGCCTTCGATCCTTCAAGTACGCAACTAAGAGAGAAGACAGAGCCAGAGAGGGGGTTGGGGACAGGGAAGAGACACAGATCAGGGCGGGGCCAGGCCCAGGCAGGGGTACTGGAATAGGCCAAGAAGACAAGACAGATGGACAGCACCAAGGAGGGCTAGGCCTCAAAAAGCCCAGAGGGGCCATGCTGCCTGAGCTCCAGCCCTGATTGTCAGCAGGGGCGGATCTCAATCTGGCCCATGGGAGCCCTAACAGCAGTAGCCGGGCTCTCCCTGTCCCCTAACCCCCCAGGCCCACATCCGAATTCCAGAGCTCTCGCCATTCTTCTGGGTCCATATACAAGATGGGAGAGGCCTGCAAATATTCAAAGTCCCTCCTAACTCCTAGGCTGCCGGGGGAGAAGAGGAGAGTCCTGCCAGGGCTGCTCACTCTTCTCAAGTGCTCACAGAGCTGCATCACACGCACAGGGCCCTGGCTGTGCTTCCCTGCCAACCTCAGCCTCCCTGCCCTCCTTCCCAGAGAGGCTGGCAGGCCCCAGGGTCAGAGGAATTCCAGCCTCCCCCATCAGTGCTCCCTGGAGGCATGAGCTCCAGGGTGGAAGTCTGTGGGGATTGGGGAAGCAGGCAAAGTTAGGGAGAAGCTGGCTTCCTGGCGGTGGAGGAGTAGCTGCGTGTTGCGGGGAGGGGATAAGGGTCCATCAGAACAAAGCAGTCACCATATGCATGAGTGAGGGGCCACTGGCACTGTGTCCAGTCTCATCATTGCTGCCCAGGGGGAAGGTTGAGGAAACACAGGGGAACAGGAAACTGGTCTCGACACAGTGTGTCCTCAGGTCCTAACACTCAAACCGGAGTCCCCACTTACCTTCCCTGGTTCCTAGACTCCAAACCCACTCCCTGTGGTGGCCCTAGATACCACCTTGCACCAGGGATGCAGGCCCTGCAGCGGTGGGTGGCTCACCTCAAATGAGCGTCCCTGGCAGGACCCAGCCCAGGCCCCGGGGCCCCGGGGGCTGGAAGAAGAGTCCTCTCCCAGCAGGCCCAGCACTGCCCTCAGAATAGTGCTCATGTCCAGGCCCGGCCAGGACAAGTTCCTTACAGTGTGGGTGGAGTCTGGAGAGCGCAGCCCAGGGTCTGCGGCCCAGGCAACCCAGAAGTCAGGGCCCTCTGCCCCGCCCTTGCCCAGTGTGGGTGGGGGTGCACTTACTGTATCCCATGCCTTGCAGGAAGTATTTGAAGGCCTCAGTCAGCTTTCCTGGCTGCAGGGGAGTGGGACAGTCACATACTTTGATTGGCTGTCTAGGATTTATAGGGTGACAGGGAAGGGGGGGGTCTCCATCCCTCCCAACTGCCCACCCCATCATGCTAGGTGATAGAAAGGCAGGAGGGCCAAGAATCTCACCTGTGTGACTTGGGGAAGGCCCCCAGAATCTGCCATCTGCAAGAGGAGGGGCAGGGTGAGCTGAGGCAGCTGCTCCCCGCCCCCACCTGGACAGGCTCAGCTGGCCAGACACCTGGGGCCCAGGCAGGCCCTGCCTGGCCACCGAGCCCCGGGTGGAGGCTGGCTGGGGGCTAGAGGAAGGTCTCACCTTCAGGAAGGTCGTGGAAGTCGGGTCCAGTTTGGAGTTGCATTCAACCTGTGGGACAGGACTCAGCTGCAGCAACAGCCCCGCTCCCTGTACGTGTGTGTGTGTGTGTGTGTGTGTGTGTGTGTGTGTGGTATGCACAGTGTGTGTAAGGTAGGTCTGTGCCTCAGAGAGGAGGGAGAGAGGAAGAGAGAGCAGGTGCAGGTCCAGGGCCTGGCTGTGGGCACTGGAAGGCTGGAATGTTTTGGACACCTGGAATTGCTCTGAGCACTCACGGGCCCGGAAGCCTCCAAGCAGCTCTGTACTGATGCCCACCTCTGCCCAACCCCAGGCTGCCTGAGGCCAGAGTGCTACTGAGAGAGGTGACACACAGGCCCATACCCATCTCCGGGTGTCTGGGTGGCCCAAGGGAACAGTGTTGAGAGTGTAAATGACTTAAATCATAAAAGGTCTTTCTAATGTTAGAAGCAGGGGTCTTCAGCTCTGGGCCTGTCTGAAGTGCATAGGTGAGGCTGCACTGCTGGGGAGGAATGGGGTGTCAGGAAGCCTGGCCAGAGCCCTGTCCCCAGCACTCCACACTTTCAGGCCCCTTCACCTACGCAATGGGAGTGACCGGGCAGGAATGGCAAGGTGGCAGGGAAGAAGGGAAGGTCACCACCCCACACTTGTCCCTGCAGTGATCCCGGGCTGCATCCAGAGCTGGCCTGGCTGTCCAGGTCTAAAGAGCTCCTGGCCCTGACCTCCCATCCCTCCCCCCCCCAGGACACAGCCTCGCACTCACCACCCCCTCCTCAGCAGGGGCATTGTCGCCAACCACCAGCATCACAGGGCAGCTGTGGACACAGAGGAAAAGAGCTGTCTGGCCCGGCGCAGGGCACAGGCAGGGGCCGGCTGCAAGCGCAGTGGCCACTCACCGGAGGGTCTTGGCATTGGGAACCGTCCCGGGCCGGTTAATGTCCAGGTCTCGTCGGCTGCAGGGGAGAAGCAGAGGCAAAGGTGGGCGAGGGGGGCAAACCCAGGACTCGTTAGGAAAAGGGCAAGCCCAACACCCCCAAGCTGTGCACGGCCTCGGAGCAGGGCGAGGCTGGAGGTTCTGCAGCTGGTCTTGCTCGTGGATCTCGTGGACCACGTGGAAGTCAGGGCAGGGTTCTCACTTAGTGGTTTTTAGCACTGTGCCCCCAGCAGGGGCTTACCAAGTATTCAGATTTTCCACCAGGTGCTTAATTATTACGAACACGAGAAGGAAGGACAGAGGGCTGTCACCCCCCCCCTCCCAGACATCCCCACAGGAGTCTAAAGAGCACAGCTAGGAACGTCACCCAAGCTTCTCCTCACTTCAGAGGTTGGGCACCAGAATTCCAAGTTGGGGCCAAGGGGGTCCCTAGCACCCCCAGTGCCCAGCCAGCAAGGGAGAGGAGGAAGAACTCACAGCCCTGCTCCTCCTGCAACGACCTCCCCCCCCCCCAGCCTGTGAGCCCTGCACAGGAGGCTAGCCCTCTCCCTGCCTCCACCTGGGGGTGGCCAGGGGAAGGACCCCATCCCTGTGTGCCCACACCTGTTGTACATGTTCCAGAAGAGCTGCAGGTTGGCCTGGTTCACCACGTTGGAGATCTGCTGCCGGTAGCTCTGCACCAGCTCCGTGTTATTCACCAGCTCCTCCTGGGCCCGGGCAGGGGTGGGGGTGGGGGTGGCAGAGAGGCTCAGCAGGGCAGTGGGGGGGTGCAGAGGGCCTTAGGAGGGAGCGGAGGGGAAGCCTCCCATCCCCATTGCTCCTCAAAAGGCCATTCATCGCAAATAACCACAGAAGTCAGGGATAAGTCAGCCTCCTGCTGAGCAGGGATGGGGCGGCCCAGCCCACTGGGACTGCAGAAGCCCCCCTTCCCCCCTTACCTGGCTGAAGAGGTGGGAGAGCACCGTGTCAGGTAGGGTGCTGGTCAGGCCAGAGAGCTGTGGGAGGGGACGCATGGGGGGGCGCCATCTTGAGCAGGGGGCCTCCCCTGCCCCCCACCTCTGCAGTCTCAAAATGTGAAAGCCCACTCCCCCCACCCCTCCCGTGCCTGAATTCCCCAAAGCAGGGCCACACGTGGCTGAAGCGGGACCTGCCTAGTGGGTTTGTACAATGGATGTCTGGAACCAGGCCTGTGTAAATCACTTCAGGCTGAAACCACAAACTTGCGAAGCAAGTCCTGAGACTTTTTATACCCTCCAGCCACCTCCAGCCCTGCTGAAGTCCTGTCCGCCTGCCCCCAGCATGCCTCGTGTCTCCTGACTCTCCTCAGGTCACCGTGGCGTCCCTCTTCAACTGGAATCCATTGACGTGGGTCTGGTCTGTGGAGACGGCATCTGCGCCTGCTTTCATGCTTCTCGCCTTTCCCCTAACACTCACCTTGGTGGCAGCCCAGTCAATCCAGCCTTTGCCATTGGGATCGATGTTCACTAGCACCAGCCCCTCCACCAGGTCAGGGAAGATGAGCTGCAGGGGACCAGGGAGAAGAGGCTGGGTGAGGAGGGAGGAGAGAGGCTCCCTTCGCCCCATCTAGAAAGCTGTCAATTTAGCCCTAATGTCTGGAATTGAGACCCCTTTGTACAACTACTCAGTAAGAGTCAGTAGTTTTTAAAATCACAGTCGTGCCTTTCTCCTAGATGGCTGGAAAGGTGGGACTGTGGCAAAACACTTCACATCTAAAGAGGCCGCTGATGAGCAGCTGGCTGTAGCAGCCATGCTGAGCTCTGATTTACTGTGCAGGATATGGAGACACAGGTCTGCAGGCCCAGCACTACAGAGGCAAAGGCAGGAAGATCTGGAGTTTGAGGCTGGCCTAGGCTACATAATGATATCATCGCCAACAAACAAGCATTGATTTCTATCAATGTCTTCCACCCTTTGAAAGGACAGCATGTCCAGGTGCGGTGGCTCATAGCTGTAAACCCAGCTACTTGGGAGGAGAAGTAGGAAGTTAGAGGCCAGATTAAGTAAACATAAAGTTAGTGAAATCCCTTCTCAATGAACAGTTATGGGGACAGAAGTAGGAGAGTTTCTGTTCCAGGCAAGCATTGGAGACCCTATTAGAAAAAGAAAGTAGGGCTGGGAAGGTGGCTCAGTGGTAGAGCGCTTGCCTTGCATGCCTGAGGCCCTGGGTTCGATTCCTCAGCACCACATAAGCAAAAAGAAAAAAGCCAAAGTGGTAGAGTGCTAGCCTTGAGCTGAAGGGCTCAGGGACAGCACCCAGGCCCAGAGTTCAGGCCTCACGACTGGACCCCAAAAAAAAAAAGAAAAAGAAAGTAAAAAATAAAAAAGAACTGGCGCAAGCAGCGAACACTTGCATAGCAAACATGAAATCCATGCTCAAAACCCAAGTACCCACAAAGTACCTGTGATGTGTATTTGTGTATTATTATTGTTATGAACAGTCAATAGCCCCCAAGATAGGGACAGGCCATTTTTTTTTTTTTTGGTTGGTTGTAGGGCTTAAACTTAGGGCCTGGGCACTGTCCCTGAGCTCTTTTGCCCAAGGCTAGCCTCTCTACCCCTTTGAGCCACAGCGCCACTAAGAGTCTCACTGAGCTGGATGCTGGTGGCTCACACTTGTAATCCTAGCTACTCAGGAAGCTGAGATATGAGGATCTTGGTTCAAAGCCAGCCTGGGCAGAAAAAAGTGGTGACTCTTATTTTCAATTAACCACCAGAAAACCGGAAGTGGCACTGTGGCTCAAGTGGTAGAGCGTTCGCCTTGAGCTGAAGAGCTGAGGGACAGCGCCCAGGCCCAAGAGTTCAAGACCTACAACTGACACACACACACAAAAAAGAGACTCACTGACTTTCTTGCCCAGGCTGACTTTGAACAGCTATCCTCAGATCTCAGCCTTCTGAGTAGCTAGGATTATAGGAATGAGCCACTGGCACCTGGCTAGTACTATTTTTTTTTGAGGGGGGGCACAGGTCACTTCTTAGGAACTATAGCTCAGTTGGACATTCTCCAAGTCCTCTTGCCCAGCTGGAATGATGCATTCTCCCAGGCTGTGTAATAACCAAACTCAGCTCTGCTAACTCAGGTGGAGACATCCAACCCTCCACTGCCTTGGTAACCATGGTCCCTTATGCCCCAGGACGACCAATATGTCCAGCACATTCCCCTCCACAGTAGCTCCAACACCCAGCTCAGACCACCTCCACATTTAATTAATTAATTAATTAATTAATGCGGTGCTAGGGATTGAACCCAGGACCTCATGCATCCATGGTTTTGCAAACATCCTACCATGAAACCACATCATCAACCCCTTTAATACATTTTTGAAAGTCGTGCTGCAAAACTCAATACTAAACATCTTAAAACCTTGGGCTAGACAAGTGGGACATCTCACCTAGTAAGAATGAGACCCTGAGTTCAAATCCCAGTGCATAATTAACTACCCAACTACATAAACAAATATACAAACATGTTAAGCATGTCTGATTACTTTTATACAAAATAAAGACCTTAGTCGAGCATGGTGATATAGGCCTGTAATCCCAGCTACTTGGACTGGGGGCACAGCGCAGCAATAGAGCAAGCATGATGTTTTGAGTGTTTAAAGCCCAGTACCACCAAGAGAGAAAAAAAAAGGAGAATGAAGCCCTTGTGACATAATTTAAGAAACTGCTCTTTTCAGGGCCTGTTTTATATTAAACACTGGGGAAATAGCTGCCTTTTTCATGGGGGTGGGGTGGTTTGAGCCTCTGACTTGTTAGACATAGTCTCCAGTTCTGTTCTTTTGCTGGTTATATTTGGAGATACAGTCTGGCAGAATTTTCTGCTAAGGCTGTCCTCAAACCATGATCTTCCAGATCTCAGCCTCCTCAGTGGCTAGGATTACTAGTGTGGGCCAATGGAGCTGCCAGGCTAAGATCTGCATTTTCTGCTCAATGACAAAATTCACACAATACTACGCCCCATTGGGTTTGTCTGCATGGTTTGGAGAAGTCTATAGTTAACAGTGGTGGTGTGCAGGGCTTAAAACAGGATTTTAAAATCCTTGATTATTTCTATGTAAAGATTTTAAGATTCTCTCTGAAGATTTCATCTGTGATTTTAGAAATAAAAAGCCTTCCTGGGGCTGAGAATGTGGCTTTGTGGTAGAGTGCTTGCCTAGCATGCATGGAGCCCACATGATCCCTCAGTACCACATAAACAGAAAAAGCCAGAAGTGGTATTGTGGCTCAAGTGGTAGAGTGCTAGCCTTGAGCAAAAAGAAGCCCAGGGACGTGCCTAAGGCCCTGAGTTCAAACCCCAGGACTGGCAAAAAAAAAAAAGACAAAACAAAGCTTTCCTGACTTGCATTATGTTTTTTTTAGATTTCACAGACTTACAGGTGTGAGCCACCAGCGCCGGGCTTATATAGTATACTTTTTTAACTTCAAAAAAGTCAAAAGACCCAGGTGCCGGTGGCTCATGCTTAGAATCCTAACTACTCAGGAGGCTGAGATCTGAGGATGGTGGTTCAAAGCCAGCCCAGGCAGGAAAGTCAGTGAGACTCTTATCTCCAATGAACCACCAGAAACCAGAAGTGGTGCTATACAACTCAAAGTGGTAGAATGCTAGCCTTGAGCAAAAATTGTTCAGGGACAGAACCCAGGCCCCACCAAGTTCAAGCCCCAAGCCCAACAAAAAAACAAATCAAAATGTTTAAAAAGTCAAAAGTCAAATGTCACTTTAGTAGGTGACCTCAATGCCACCTCTGTATCACCAACGACTCTGGAGAGCAGGCAATTAGTTGCGTATGTTGTTGCTAGTAGAAATTTTGAGCTGAATGCTGGTGGTTTGTGCTTTTAACCTTAGCTACTCAGGAGGCTAAGATCTGGGGATCCCAGTTGCGTAGGCTTTGAACTTTCCTAAGTCCACGAGACTCTCATCATCACTCAACCACCAGAAAGCTGGAAGGAGAGCTGGTTGCTCAAGTGTTAGAGTTCTAGCCTTGAGTGAAAAAGCTAAAGAACAGCACTCAGACCCAGAGTTCAAGCCCTAGGATGCGTGCACACACAGACACACAGACACACAGACACACAGACACACACACACACACACACACACACCCGGATAAAGGTTAAGCAAGTTGAGGTTCATTGTTTTGAAGGAAGCCTGAGATATCACCTCTTGAATTTTTGAAAGTTAGCTTCCTTTGAAGGAAAATGGTTTTTTTTTGTGGGGGGGTTCCGGTTGTGGGGCCTGAACTCTGGGTCTGGGCGCTGTCCCTCAGCTCTTCAGCTCAAGGCTAGCGCTCTACCACTTGAGCCACAGCGCCACTTCCAGCTTTTTTTCTTTTTGCTTATGTGGTGCTGAGGAATCGAACCCAGGGCCTCATGCATGCAAGGCAAGCGCTCTACCACTGAGCCACCTTCCCAGCTCTTTGTTGTTGTTGTTGTTGTTTTTAAGTGAGGAAAAATTAAGAGGAGGAGAAAAGGTAGCAGAAAAACCAGAGAGAGTCCCTCGCTGCAGAAGCCCCCTTTTCCACTGGAGCTGGGGTTGTGGGTGGGGGCAGGAGACTCACCGCAAACTTGGCCAGCACATAGGCTCCGGCTCCCACTCCGATGCCAATCACATACTTGAACCTAGCACAGAGCAGGGCTGGTTACTCTAGGGCTGGGGTGTCATTTCCCAGAAACCCGCCAGCGAGGCCCTGCCCATGCCCTCAGGCCTTTACTGGAGCCAGGTGGCTGAGGCATTATGGTGGGTACTTGTAGCCCTAGTCTAGACGCGGGGGTCGTGGCTGGGGGAGATGAGAACTCACCCAAAGTGCTGAACCACGCTGGGGAGCATGGCGGCCAGCTGCTCCAAGGAGGGGAACTGGTACCTGAAGGCGACACAGAAGTCAGGGCCTGGGTGCAGCTAGGGTGCGGGGCTGGGGAGGGTGGGTGGAGGGGCTCCGGGTTACCTACCCCTGAGGGAACTGTGACGCCCCCACCTGCTGTCCGGGGGCGTCCACGTGGCACACCACAAAGTGCTTGGTGATCTCCTGCATGTCCTCGAAGTTGAAGAAGGTGTTGAAGCACAGCTTGTCTGCAGAGGGCAGGGGGCAGAAGGCCGCTGAGCCACAGAGCCAAGCCTGCGCAGTGGTCGTCAGGCCTTGTGTGGAGGGAGGGGAGGCCTGGCCACTTTGGCAGATTGCGGGTGCCGCAGGCCAGGAGGGGGCCCGGGCTGTACTTACGGTTGAGGCCCACATCGTGGTAGGTGAGGATGGCTGGGCGGTTCCCCTTGGGGGAGCCCCGGATCACCACGTGCAGTAGGCCATACGGCGTCTCGATATCGTGCTCCTAGGCAAGACACACAGCGCCGCCGGCTACAGGGCTGCTCCCGCCCCAGGCTTTCTGGGGAATGCGGAGGCCAGGCAGTCTAAAAGCTGCCGGGCCGATGGTAGGGTCTCATCAGAGTTCAAGTCAAATGGAGCCCCCTTACTCAGGGGTGTCTAGCAGAAGACCAACATGGACTGCATGGAAAGTGCTGGTCTCCACTGCAATCCAGCCCATGCACTGTGCTGCCAGTGCCCAGACCCTGCTGAGTGCAGACTCAGCCCTCCAGGGGAGGCCATGTTTTCCCATCGCACTGTAACCACTCATGCTGTCCTACCACCACAGCCCAAGCCCCTCACCCACTCAGAACCCTCAAGGGCTCCCTGCTCTGGAAGAGGAATGACTGAGTGTACTCATTACCTCACTCATGTAACTGTAACCCTCTGTATAGTATCTTTACAATAAAAAAAAAAAGGAAAAAAAAAAAAAAGAGGAATGACTGCCGGATTCCACAGCAAACACCCCTTGGCCAGCCACGCCCTGCTTGGGACCCCACACCCGCCCCTGGCTCCCACCCTGGGCTCTAGCTCCTGCGGCTCCCTGCACCTCCCTCCACCTTGAATGCTCGTCCCTCCCGCCTCCAAGCCTGCAGTTCTGCTCTGGGGTCATCCTGAGTCCTCACTCTTGCTTGGCTTTGCTGCTCAGGTCATTAGGCTTTCAGGAGGGCTGGCTGGGCCCCCTCACTGTCTCCCCTCCTCCCTTGGGCCATCTCATGGGGACTTCGTCAGCTACCATCTTATCCCTGAGAGGAGGCTGCTGTGCTTCCTGAGGCTTGGGGAGATGCTCCTTTACAGATGAATTGTTCTTGGTCACTTAATCAGGAAACCCCAAGAGGGCCTGCCAGAGCTGAGTAAGCAGCCCGGCCTGAATGGAAGGGAGCCGCCATGCTAGAGCGCGTGGTTCAGAGCGCAAGGTGGGGCTGGGTTCAAGGACAGGGAGAAACAGCAGCTGACCAGAAGCACCAGCATGTGCGCGCACTCCTCTGTTACTCAGGAAGAGGGCACGAACCCTAATCTCCATTTTGCAGATGGAAACACCTGGGTTCAGAAAGGGGGACTTGGGTGGCTGGAGATGCTTCTCGGGCTTTCCAGGGTCTGCCTTCAGAGGACAGCTAGCCCGGGCTGTCCCCAGTGGGGAGTGGCAAGATGGTTCCAATACCATGTTTAAAGGCCATATTCAGCTGGGAACCTGTTTTTTGTTTTGCTTGGCTTTTGCTTTTTCCTCTGTGTAGTCTCCAGCAGGTCTCACCCACCGCAGCCTCCTAGGCCTGGCCTCCCTCATATGTACATGTCACCTCCTTCCCGCCTCACTCAGGCACAAGCCAGAGGAGGAGATGGAGGTCCAGGGAGCTATCTGTCTTGGCCAAAATTGAGCCCAGCCCATGCAAGGTGGGGGTGGGGGGCAGGCGTGCCCTCAGGGGCCTGGGCCCCACACCGCGAGCTGGGCTTTCTGGAGTGGATATTGAGTTTTACCCAAGGGATATCCTGAGCATGCAGACACTCTCCATAGCTGCCTGACCCTGCTGGGGCCCACTGCAGTACAGGCCACTCACCTCGCAGGCCTCTGGAGGGAGGGGCTGGGTGGAGCACGCACGCATACTCGCTGCAGGGGCCAGCTGCAGTGGGCAGGCCTCTGAGTCAGGTAGCTCAAGCTCTTCCGGGCAGATGCTGGGACCCAGGGCACCCTCCAAACCCAAACCTCCACCCTCCATTGCTGAGGTCACCGTCTGTCCCGTCTTAGCCTTGGGGTGGCTGTCCGGGTCCCCTAGGGCAGCAGAGCTGAGCCTACTAAGGTTTACTTCCTGGACTAGGAAGGGCTAGGTTTGGACAGGCCACAGGGGTGTGGAGGAAGAGGGGGATGGGGGGGAAGACCAGCTTATCTGTCCCCAGGCCTAGTGACCTTGGCTGCACCTCCCCAAGATCTCCCCCCCCCCCTCAGCCCTCCTCCCACCCCATGCACGACCCTGCCTGAGGAGCTCTGACCCAGTTCAGCCTGACAAGCTGAGCTCCCCCTCTCCCTAGATGCTGCCCAAGGTGTTGGGGGACAGCCCAAGGGCAGCGGCCCCACGCAGCTCTGAGACCCCCAACTCCCAGGGTGGAGCGTTCCCATTGGCTCCCGGTGACGTCAGAGCCGGCCCCGCCCCCAGGTGGGCACCTGCGGGATGCACTGCGGCAGGCGGCGGGGGAGGGGGCTCTGCCCTCCCTCACAGCTTGCCTTCCCTGCCAGTGACCTTGACTGGGGGTGGGCATGGCTGGGGTTCTGGAGCATCAGGGGTGGTACTGTTGGGGCTGAGGTTTGTCAGCCCCATTAATCATTCACCCTGAAGCAGCGAAGGGCAGGGAGACAGGTCTGCCCTTGCCTCTCCCTCCTTGAGGAAGAACTGGAGCTTTGGGTACCAGCTGCTGCCCCTCCAAGGGTAGGAGGCGCTGTACTAGAAGCCAGGTCCCCACCCCTCACAGTGTTGCCCTGCTAGCTTACCGAACGAGGCACGGCGGGGGGGGGGCCCTCCTAGTCTGTCCCCTCCCATCGTACCTCCTTTCTGAAAACACTGACCTCCAAGTCGTTCTGTCCCCTGCCCCTCCCCCCCAATGCCCTGGGGATGCACAGGCAACTCCTAAGGAAAACAGCCCGTCTGTCCTTCCATGGGCACCTGCCACAGCAATCCAAACCCCCAGACAATCCCCCAAGAGACAGGCCCGGAACTAGCAGGCAGGGCCTTGGCAAGCTAGTGACTAGCCAGGGAGGGGACCCTTGTGCACCGGGCTGGGCTAGACCCCAACACCTGGGCACCACACCAGCAGACACATGCCAAGCAGAAGGCACAGAGCAGTAGGGCATGTGATGGGCATACACTGAATACTGATTACGTACCGCAGACTTCACCCCCCATTCCATGCCCTTCCCAGGCATAACTGGCAGCTGTCCCCAGCTACGCCTGCAGACCAGGATCACCAGGAGGATGGGAGAGGGCACCAGACAAGCGCAGAGGGATGTCGCATCCCTCTTGCAGGTCACAAGGATGGCTGTCCTCCCTACCTACCTCGTGGCCCCCCTCCCCTGACCCCTCACTCACCCCATCCCAGCACTCCGGCATCTTGCCAAGGGAGGGAGCTTGCTTGAGCAGGAAGAGCAAATAAAAGCCTGAGTCACTGGCGTCTGGAGGGAGGGGACAGCTCGGGTGGGAGACCAGCGGCTCTGTGATGGAGCTCAGCGGGGCTCTGGGCCATTTATTCATGGATCCTGGCCCGCCCAAGCTGGTCCCACCTCCTTGCAAGGCTCCTGAGCAGCCACTGGCTGGCAGCGAGCAGTCACTCCCAGATTGGCTACCGGGAGACAAACCTGGCTCCAATTGGCTTCTGAGGTTCTTGCTTATTAGCCCACCCTCCTTCCAGCTCCTTCCTCCCAGCTCCCAGCATCCTGATGGTCTCAGCATCAGGGATGCTCAGCTCAGTCTCAACGACAGGTATTGAATTGGTTCCCCTGGTCCCAATGCCTAGGTACTCTCCACTAGCTGAAGCTGCCCATCCCCACAGGCACATAAACCCAGACAGAGCAGAACAAGGCAGGATCCACACGCAGGGCCCAGACCTGCAGAGCCCTTGACCTATCTCGTAGGAGTACAAGAGCGGGGTATCCATGGGACCAGACCCTCAGACTAGGTCCTCACCAGAAAGGCCCGGGTCTTTGAGGAGAGTTGGGGTGTGAGTGTAGGAAGGTCGCTGCATGTTGAAAACCATTTGGGCCATCCTTCTCCATCCCCTGGCTTCTCTCCCCCTTGGGCAGATCCTACTCTGCCTGCATGGAGGACTGGGGGAGGGGTGCTGGGCAGACTGCAGGAGCAGGGCACTACCAGCTTTGCCCTTCCTACTCTTCCCCCCCCCCCGCCCAAAGGGGCTAGGGGCCACCGGGGAAGAAGATGAGGGTCAAGAGGCAGCCTGTCCCAGCTGACTCTCGGTTATCTTCGGTAGCCAATCAGCAGGGTGCTCAGTTGCCAGGCCTCAGGGGAGTTGGAAGCACAAAGCCATCTCAGACTCCACGGGGAGGGAGGGGGAGGGGAAGGCTGGGGATCCGTGCCCCCATTCTGTCTCCTGGGTGGAGAAACAGGCCATTCTGGCTCCAGCCTGAGCTGCCAGCCGCGTGCAGGAGGCTGCCCCTGGGGAGGGCAGTCAGCCCCCCCGGGCCCAGGTGATGGGGCTGTGCACTATTCCTGGCCTTGTGTTCTGCCTGGAGCATCAACAACGTTTCCCTGTTCCACCTCTGACCTCTAGCTATGAGGCTGGGTCCCTCAGCCCGGCAGGGCAGGGGTGTGGACACGGGGGGGGGGGAGCCCCTCACATCCCGTCCATGCCTGGAGGGAGAGCTGAGGCACTGCAGAGCCCAGCCTGTCTGTCCAGTTCTGCTTGCCCCTCCAACCCTTCTCAGTGGCGGCTCACCCCGTCCTCACCCACCCCCACCTCTGCCCTCCCCATCTGCTCCTCGCCCTGGTACCCAGGCCAGGGGCCACCTGACACGGGGTCCTGTCCAAGACACAGCCATTCCCCTCTCTACTCAGTTCTTGGCTTCAAATCCACGGGCCTGGGGCCCCAAGCTGCTCCACCCCACAGCTTTCCCCCATTCCAGCCTTTGGTGTTTACACCAAGGCGAAGGAGTAGCTGGTGGGGGCACAGAGAAGCTAGGGAATTGTTTCAGGTGCTATCAGCACTCTGGGCCTGAGGTCACAGCATTCAGAAGAGCAAACACTTGGAATGTCTCCCACCTGCCAGGCTGCTTTAGGGCACTTTATACTTGTTGCCTTTTTTTATTTTTAATGCTCTCAGCAGCCACTTTTCCAGTGAGCCAGATGAGGCTCGGAGAAGGCTGGTAACCTGCCCAAGATCACACAACTAGAAAACTCGAACCAGCACCCAGACAGTGTGCCTTCACTCCATGCTCCGGTGGCCACCTGTCACCATCCCTCAAGGGTCAGACCTCTAGGCCTGTGGACACCGTTACCTCACAAGCTCAGCGATGTCTGAGCTGCCTGTGTCAGGGAATAAATGAGGCAGCTGAACAGGGTGACTTCTGCCAGAGGTCACACAGCTGGTAAATAGCCAGGCAGGACCTGGACGATCCAAGTGTGTGTGATGCTTGCTGGTCTCTGCCACGGAGGCCAGGGACAGTGACCTGCCTGTCACTGAGAAAGAGGGGAGGGAGGGGAGTGAAATCCCTGCCTTGGCACTTTCCTTTAAAATAAACGAAGAAAGCTGTCTGGATGTAGTGTACCCTAACTAGGACGGAGAGGAAGGTATTTCTCAATCCCTCAGGCTCCCGCCCACCACGGTGGATGCCCTGGGTGTGGGTTGCTTGGGAGAGCAGGGAGTAGGGGGAGGGGGTCCCCTCCATCTCTGCCCACAGAGGCTGTGTGCTGGGCTCTGTGTAGCACAGCACAGAACAGGCTGGTGGCTGCAGGGCCTGCTGTGATTTCCAGCAACTACAAGCTGCTAGAGCTCCCATCCCTCCTCTTGGGGGGGGGTGTCCCATCATCTCCCCCCCCCCCCTTCACCCTGCTGAATCCCATCCTCTGCTCTCTGAGTTTGGAGATAGCATGGGAGGGACGGGTTTGTCTGGACAGGTGCATCCAGTCTGCTCTGGAGCCGAGCTTCCTGTCCTTGAAGAGAAGGGGGTGACCATGGACTCAGCATGCAGGCCGGAAGCAGCTTGGGGGGAGAGGGGAGGAGCCAGCCGTCACCCCAGGTCCAGCAGCCATTTGACTGCTCCAGTCATGGGGCTTGGAGACTGACCCAGATAGAGGTCAGGTGGAGCCACAGCAGTAACCTAGGGGCTCCATCGATCTGGGCAGCAGGAAGCAGATGAATTTACCATCCCATCTGGACAGCCAGTGGGCTCGGGGCAGGCTGGTGAGGGTCACCTGGAGTGTGCTATTAGACATTTCCTGACACCTGGAGATGAACGGTCACTAGGGGACTTAGAGGGGAGAAAGGAGCAAAACCGAGAGAGCCAAATCATCGTTGTGGGGGGATAGAAACAGAGAGCAAGTTCAGTGTTCAATGGAGAATCTGAAATCAAAGAGGACATGGTCGCCTGGGCAACCGCTGCTATGGCAACAGGAGCTATTTCAGAGGCAACCTGGCTTTCACTGGGGGAAATGCTGATTCAGATGACAACATCCCTCACTGCCTTCTCTATCCCCACCGTCCCCAGGACTCCAGATGATCCCCCCACCTCCCCCTCAGGCACCTTCATTGGGCAGACACAGCTAGGGGGGAGCAGATATGGCTGCCCTGAGGCTAAGGTGCCCCCCCTGCCACTATGTGGGGCACACAGAGATCAGTGATCTCTCCTGGGGTCTGAACAGCTGGGCAGAGGGGGTCCCACAGCTCAGGAGGCTGGGCTTTGACTTACCTTCCAGTCTGTGTCCACAGCGGAGAGGAAGGTGTCAGAGTTCTCCTAAGGGAAAGTAAACCGGGTGGGGGAGGGGAGGAGAAAAGAAACGGTGGGAACCTGGGGGCCCACAGGGCCTGGCTCCCTCCGGAGCACCCCGCCTTCCTGATCTCCAGTCTATGTTCACGTGAACCAAAAAGCACCAAGGGTTTACCAAGTACCAGACACTGGAGCCCGTGAGTTTATCAACATCAAGTGCAAACGTTTCCATTGTACAGGTGAGGGGCTGAAGCTCAGAGGGCTGGGAACCCAGGGCCAGAAAGTGCTAGAACCTCTGACTCCAAGTCTGGCTGTTGGTCACTTTGCCCTCTTCCATCAAAGCTATCTCCCTCGGTCCGGCAGGGGAAAGGGCACAGGGCAGAGGGAGGGAAGGAGGGAGGGTTGAGGTCTGATTGTCACAGCCAAGTAATGCTGGGGACCGTTCAGCAGGAGCAACGCTGACTTTCCCAACCTGAGCACTGTCCCCAGGGCCAGGGACACTGCCTGCTGCACCCCCTCAAGTCACCTGGGAATGTGTGTCACTGAGCAGCCCTGCCTTTGCTCAGTGTCTGGCACCGGACTCCAGGGTGGGATCATCCTCGCTGTGCTCAACACAAAGCCTGGGCTGGAACTGGCTCCCAGACACACAGGATCTGGACGACGGACTTCCTAATGAGGAGTGAGTGGCTTGGGGGCACCTCCAGATGGAGTTCGTGAGGGTGGAGGGTCAGGCCTGAACTCAGGTGTGAGTCGCATCCTGGCCAACTCTGTCGTGGAGCCTGGCTCTCAGGTGAGACGCCCTCACTCCCCCCCAATCCCTGTTTATCTGCCACTGTACAACCAGGTTGTGGGCTAGCTCAGACCTTCCTCCAGAACAGCAGTTGCCAAGGGAATGCAGAGCTCTGGGTCTCCCTGGGTGTCTTCTGTGCTAGTCTAGAAACTTCTCTGCTAAGGCTTGGTGAGGGAGCTTCAGGCAGGTCTCTGAGCCTGAGCCTAGACTGGGTCCTTTATATGCTATTGGTTCTCCTAGTAAGTCTGTGTCAATCAACTTAGAAACAGAAGGCTACTGGAAGATGGCAAGAGAAGGGGTGGGCTCAGATATGCAATAAAGACAAAGACACGCCCCCATGCTCCAAACAGGAAGAAGAATCAATTGATAATTCTAATTTTTTTTTTCTCATAATGAAGAGGAAGTCCAGCCACCTGCATTCTGGCGGGGGGGGGGGAGGGAGGGGAGGTGTATGTGGGGGTGTATGGAGTTCAGAGGGCACCAGGAACTGTCTTCAGCCAGGTTCCAGTGGCTTGAGACTGTTTCATAAAGAATGACTGTACTTTCTCCAGGTGTAGTATACACACCTGCAAGCTCAGCAATCAGGAGGCTGGGGCAGGAGGACTGAGAGTTAGAGGCCAGCCTAGTCCACATCAAGAATAGCTGTACTTAGCTAGGCCTCCCCGCTGATCCACCCAAGGAAAGAGATATCACCAAAGACTGAGGGTGGGGCTAGTCATGGATGGATCTTCTCACCCAAAGGTCTTCTGGGAGGGGCGGGAAAGTGCAGGTGTGGGAGGTTTCTGTACTGGAAACCTAAAAGCGGGTAATTATCTCTGAAGAGGAAGTAGGAGGAAGGTTTTAAAAAATAAAATCTGACAGCAAGGATGAGACAGATAATGGCAGGGTGTGCGGTGTGCTCCCAGGGGGCTGTCTGGGGGCACAGGAGACGGAGAGTGTGGGAGGGGTGGGATTCAAAAGTCAAGAAACAGCAGGAAAAAAAAAAAAAGAGCCAACTCAAAACCCCACCTCCAAAACTGTGGGGCTGAGCAAGCTCACAGAACACGGGGGTCAGAGAGGGTCCTGCGGAGAGACGGGGAGAAGCTTGGGAATGGGAGCCAGATGAGGTACCCAGACCCTGGAGAAGGGGAAGACAGGCCCCCACCTGGTACTGGACACTCCAGAGCAAGCCAGTCTGAAGAGGCATGAGGCTCGGGAGGCGTTCTATCTGTGGAACACTGGTTTTAGAGCTCTCTGTGGATACCAAACTGCAGAGGTTCAAGTGCCTTGTGTAAAATGCCTAGTATATGCACAGGATCTATGGATGTCCTCTCACAGAATTTAAATCAGGTCCAGAGTACCTCATGTTAGGGAATCATGACAAGAAAAGAAGCCTGGGGCTGGGAAGGTGGCTCAGTGGTAGAGCGCTTGCCTTGCATGCATGAGGACCTGGGTTTGATTCCTCAGCACCACATAAACAAAAAGAAAAAAGCCGGAAGTGGCGCTGTGGCTCAAGTGGTAGAGCGCTAGCCTTGAGCTGAAGAGCTGAGGGACAGTGCCCAGGCTCAGAGTTCAGGCCCCATGACCGCCAAAAAAAGAAGCCTGTACATGTTCAATAAGTACTTGATTCTTTTCTCCAACATTTTCCCTCTACGGTTGGTTGAAACCTGGTAAAAAGCAAGCAGTGCAACTGTGGTTCAACTGGTGGAATGCCAGTCTTAAGCAAAAAAGCTAAGGGACAGCTGGATGCAGGTGGCTCACGCCTCTAATCCTAGCTACACAGGAGGCTGAGATCTGAGGACTGAGGTTCAAAGCCAGCCCGGGCAGGAAAGTGTGACTCTAATCTCCAATTAACTACCAGAAAAGTGGAAGTGGCACTGTGATAGATTCCTATACTTGAGTAAAAAAGCTCAGAGAAGGTGCCCAGGCCCTGAGTTCAAGCCCCACGACTGACTGGGGGGGGGGCGGGGGGAGAGGGAAGCTGAGGGACAGTGCCTAGAACCTAGTTCAAGGCCCAGTACAGGAAGGAAGGAAGGAAGGAAGGAAGGAAGGAAGGAAGGAAGGAAGGAAGGAAAGGAGGGAGGGAGGGAGGGAGGGAGGGAGGGAGGGAGGGACAGAGGGACAGAGGGACAGAGGGACAGAGGGAAGGACAGAGGGAGGGAGGGAGGGAAGGGGTGGCCCTTGGGAAGCTATGGAGGCTGAGTGCTAGCAGCTCAGCCTGGAATAAAGTAAATAAGAGCAGCTCTCCAAGACAGAGGCTGACACGGAAAGCCCTTGCTGGGCGCTCCAAGGAGGCTGCTTTGGGCTTGGGCATGGGACTTTGATAGGCCTTTGGTAAAAACAGATGTAATCAAGGCCCCAGCACGGGGCTTGTGCTGTCTCAAACAAGAAGCCAGGCCATCATGGAAGTCTGAGACACAGTCCCTCACGCAGGGGTTCATAGCCATGGTGGTGAACTCTGGTCCTGTGGCCGGCTGCTCTGGCAGGAAGAGCTCATGAGTCAGTTCGTGTGTTGGGGGGGGGTAGCAAGGGGTGTCCTGCTGAGTGAGGAGTGGAAGACTCGGGCACAAAAGGGATCAGGACAAGATACCCTCTGCTCTCTTCAGTGCCCTGGGGCCAGTTAAGGCCTCAGTTACACGCCTCACGCTGTGCCAGCCGCTCTGCAAACTGCTCCCGTGGTGCAGTTGGGATGAGGGGTCCCCCTGGGAGATGACCTGTCTTCATGGCACCCCACAAGAGGTCTCTGTTCACATGCCTTGAAAGATCCTGGCGTGGGGAAGAGGGCCTGGGCTGGCTCCCACCCAGTTCACATCTTTACTCACAGCCAGCCACGAGCACAGTGCTGCGCGGGGCTCTTGGGAGAGCTGGTGGCCAACAGCCCCAGTAGCTGCTCCCGAGTCTGGGCCGTGGGGTCTGACAGTGGTGTACGCTAGGGCTGGGAACAGTGGAGACCTCCCAGGGAGACTTGAGCGGGGACTTGAGGATGATGAAGAGCCAGCCGTGCAAATTCCTGTCCTCACACCATCCCACACTCCCTGCTTCCTACCTCCGTCACAGAAGGCAGCTGGAAAAATGGCGGGCACGTGCCACAGGGAGGCTGGAAGGAGGGAGCTAGGGGTGCAGAAGGACAGAGGGTGGGTGCAGATCATACCCTGGGTCCTAAGAACGATGGTGATTGTCACTGAGGGAGATGGCAGCCCATCGGCAAGTTTTAAGCAGACATGAGACATTTTTTTTAAAGAGTTGTGCAGAACAAGAGCAGAGCACAGGCTGGAGCGCAGCGAGGAGCCTCCTGCAAGCATCCTGGCAGGAGCTGGGAAGAGGGGCGGGGACTGCTGTGCAGGAACTCAGCACAGGGCTTTCTAGTTCACAGTGCACCTGCCAGCCTCTGAGGGCCGATCTTCAATAACCCAGTCCAGCACTTCACTCCTAATGTTTAAGGTAAGACTACCCTTGTCAGGGACAGGACTATGGCTTCATGTTGTTGGGCCCTAGAGTGCTGGCTGCTTGGTCTGGTGCTAGCCCCTCAATGCTCCCTGAGCTGGCCTCCTTGTGGGAGAACAGTGGACTGAAGATGTGAGGGGGTGGGGTTGGTTCCTACACTTCCCCATCTGCAAAATGAGGAGGGCTGGGGCAGATGATCGTCAGGGATGCCCAGCCCTGACGCCCTCAACTTGGCACAAGAATAGCGTGAGCCAGGAGGAACTCTGAATCTAGCACCTGGTCCTCTGACTAAGGGGATAGATAGCCTTGAGTGCCTCAGTCTCAAGGCTTTGTTGTTGTTGTTGTTCAATCCTGGGGCTTGGACTGTGGGCCTGGGTGCTGTCCCTCAGCTCTTCAGTTCAAGGCTAGCGCTCTACCACTTGAGCCACAGCACCACTTCCAGTTTTCTGAGCGGTTTATTGGAGATAAGAGTTGCATGGACTTTTGTGCCCGGGCTGGCTTTGAACCACGCTCTTCAGATCTCAGCCTCCTGAGTAGCTAGGATTACAGGTGTGAGCCGCCGGCGCTCGGCAGTCTCAAGGCTTTTGGTTGCACTTGGGTGAGCCTCGCCCTTGGACCGCCTCTAGCTCTATCATATAGCCAAATGAGTTCTGCCTACATTTTCATTCAAATAGAGACGTCTCTCCTGAAGAACTCCAGCCTTAAGGGCTCACTGTGCCAGTGAGGCCGGCTGGGGACTCAGGGTGGCCCCCAAACTCAAGTCTCAAGGCAGGGACAAGGCTGCCCAGGCTGCCCAGCTCAGCTCATTACCACTTTCAAGGTGGCAGAGAAAGAGCACAATTTCCTTCTTTGCCACAAGGTGGCACTCTCGGTCCCAGGATGCAAAAGGCAACTCACCAGCTCAGTGACATCCTGGCTGCGGAGCAGAGGCTTCTCTTCGGGGAATCGCAGCTCTTGAAGACCAGCCATGGTCATGTCGTGCAACAGGAGTCCTAAGGAGGGACAGAGATGAAGTTGGGTCCCATCCGGAACTCCTGAGGACACTGCAGACCAGGGTGGGGGTTCAGCAGAGGCATTCAGTGATGTTGGCAGGGGGAGGCACACAGATTCTTACACAAGATCAGCTCGCTCCACTCAGTGTATGCCATTATATTATCCGTTCTTAAAAGGACAAATAGCAAGCCACAGGAAACTAACAGAGGTATATATTAGGCAAAAAGAAAGAAAGAAAAGAAAAAAGTCAAACTTCAGGATGGGTGCCTCATGCCTGTAATCCTAGGTACTTAGGAGGCAGAGATAAGGAGGATCATGGTTTCAGGCCAGCCTGGCCAAAAATTCACCAGGTCCCATCCCAACAGAAGAAACTGGGAGTAGTAGCTTGTGCCTGCAATCCTACCTACTGTAGGAAGCTTAAATAGGAGAATCCTGGTCCAGGCTAGGCTCACTCAGGCAAAAACCAAGATCCTATTTCACAAATGGGCAATAAAACAAAACACAAACAAAGCAACATATGATCCCTAAAATGGTTTCAAGCAAAACTCTGTATTTATTCAGATGCAGTGATGCACCTGGGGTGGGGGTGGGAGGTGGAGAGGTGGGGGACACAGGCATGATCAAAAGCAGACAGAGGTCCCCTGTGGAGGCCCAGGGGCACGAAGCAGATAGTGAAGCTCTGGGATCAGAGGCCAGAGAGGAGTGGAGCTGAGGGCTCTCTTGAGGCTGGAAGGATACGCCTGCCACAGGGTAGCAGGGAGAATGATGTTGGAGGAGGCTGGCAGGTCAGAACACCCGCAGAGACCCCTCAGCCTGCACAGACTGGATGGTAGGACCAAGGTCCCAAGTTCAAGTTCCAGGGAGACCCTTGGGCCTTTGATCCTCAGAGAGAAAAAAATCACACCTGTGTGTGTATGTGTGTAAGAGCCAGAAGTGGAGGGAGGCAGAAAGACAAGGGCACAGGATCTGCAATCTTCCAGGACCAGCAGTATTACCGCCCCGCTCCCCCCTCCCCCCCCCAACACTTGCAGTTTAGGGCGGAGAGAAATCTACCCAGGGAAAACCAGCCAAGGATGGGGAATTTATAAAATTAAAACCGGTCTGTTAAAATTGTTGAAAAAAACACCCAGGCTCACTAAAAGTCAAAGAAGTTCACACCAAAACAAGAGAATCTTCTTCTTGGACAACAGAACCGGCCACATCTGCAAGCAAAGCAAGCTACAAAACAGATGGTGATATAGTTAACCGACATATCATAGCAATGTAATATACTGATAGATCTTTCTGGAAGGCAGTATTGCAAAATGAATTAAAATGTTGTAAAAGATTCTGCCAGCACACAGAGAGCTCCCCTATGACCCAGCAATCCCACTTTTGGGCATTTACCCAAATGATCACAAACAAGACCATATTAAAGCTACCAGCACAACTATGTTTATTGCAGCATTATTTACCATAGCTAAGATATGGAACCAACCCAGATGCCTCTCAGTAGATGAATGGATCAAGAAAATGTGGTATCTATACACAATGGAATTCTATGCCTCCATCAGAAAGAATGACATTGCCCCATTTGTTAGGAAATGGAAAGACAGAAAAAATTATATTAAGTGAAGTAAGCCAGGCCCAAAGAAACATAAGTCCCACAGTTTCCCTTATTTGCAATTACTAGTATATGTCTGAGACAAGCAGAAACTGTCAGATAAGTTGATGTTAAGTGACATGAACCCCAAGATAAGGACTCAAATTATTTTTCTTGCTTACTATTGTTTCTAACATATTTATAAGATGATATTTTTGTTGCTTTGTATGTCCCTCCCCCATGGTATAACCCCTGTTTTCACTGCATTTGATGTTGGTATAATTTGTGGAGGGGAAGGGAAAAATCAAATTGTTTAAATAGGGATACAGCTGGACCCATTGCAACAATGAGATGTACAAGACGTTATGTCGAAAAACGAACTTTACAACTTTGGTGTGTGTGTGGAGATGGGAAGGGATGGGAAGGGAAACAAAGGAGGAGGCAACAATGCTTGGTAAGAAATGCACTCATTACCTTGCCCATGTAACTGTAACCCCTCTGTATGGTATTTTCACAAAAAAAAAACAAAAAAGATTCTGCCAGCAGTTCAAATTCAAGGCCAGCCCAGGCTACATAGTGAAACTGTCTCAAAAATAAGTTCCCAGGCTTTACTCCCAGGTAGAAGATGGAAAGGGTGTCTGGTCTAAAGTTAGAAAAAAAGAACTCTAAACATTAATTTTAGTTGGAGATTAGGAATAAGTTTCCTCTTTGTATACAAAACATTTCATCACTCATAAGTACTTGCTTGGCTATTGTACTCCATCCTCAGGGGGAGGGAGAAGTGGGATGAGGAAACTGAGGCTAAAAACAGCCCAACTGTTGGCCTAGCGTAGGCCAAGGCTGGGCTCTGGCCTTGGGCTCAGTACTCAGCTGGCGTGTGGCAGCCACCTGGTCTGGGGTTCCTCCAGTCCTCTCCAACTCTATTCCCAGCCTTTCTTCAGGGTAAAACCTGACTTTCCCTTTTGTCCTGAAGACTGTCAGTCACTGGCTGGTTAGCTGGGCCTCCCCTCCCCTCTCCTCACCTACGCTCCCCTCTTCCCCTCAGTTAACTTCTCCAGAAACTGTGGCTGAAGACAGCCTCAGGGCACAGGGCTAGGCTGGAGAGCACTCTGGTGGCAGGGCTGCCCTGCTCCCTGCCCTCTCAAGGGCGGCCAGGGCCACAGTGCTAGGCCTTACAGATCTGGAAGTGTTGACCCAGCGGGGAGCAGCTGGCCCTCTTCCCCAAGGGAGGGCAGATGCCCCAAAGGAGGACCCCATCTTTAGCACCAAGAGGGTCCCTAGTCCCAAGCATCCGGCCCCACTGGTTCTCGGGTTCCCAGTGGTTTCCCAGGAAACCAGCTAACACAATGCAGATGGGCTGTATTTTTAGAAAGGCGTCCTTTCCCCTCTCCCGGCCCCCTCCCTTCTCTGTCCTTTCTGACGTGTGCATACTTTCCCATCCACCCAAGTGGGGAGCTGAAAGCGGGGGGGGGGGGTCCCCACCTTGGGAAACTTCCCATGAGGACTTTCTGAGACACCCGCTTCCCTCACACCCATCTCAATTCAATGCGTGGGCAGCACTGGGGTGTCCTAGTCTGCTATGGGATCCCCGAGACCATCCTCCCCAGGGAGCTGCTATTAAAAGGGCTGTGAGTGGGCTGGGCAGGGACAGATGGCCTGTGATAGATGGAGGAGCAGGAAAGGGGTAGGAGACATCTTGCAATCCAGAGACAGAGGAACAGCTCCATCCACCCTTGGAAACGGAAAGCCCAGGGCCTGACAGGCTATTCTGACCACCTCCACCCCGCCCTCCTCCCCTCGCCCATGACCTAGAGCACAGAGTGGAAATTCTCACAGGGGGTGTGAGAAGTATCTTCCCAAGGAAGTCATGCTTGCTTGCTTTCTCTTTCTTTCTTTGGTGCTAGTACTACTGGTGCTTGAACTTAGGGCCTCAGGTTTACCTTTAAGCTTTTTTTGCTTAAGGCTAACACTCTGCCACTTGAGCCACAACTCTACTGCCAGCTTTTGGGTGTTTAACTGGAGATAAGAATCTCACAGGCTTTCCTGCCTGGGCTGGTTTCTAACTGTGATCCTCAGATCTCAGCTTCCTGAGTGGCTAAGATTGTATCTGGGAGCCACCCGGCACCCAGCTTATGATTTCTTTTTGAGAAAGCACTTGGCTGATCTTTGTAAGGGGGTGAGTTTGGGGTTTACCTAGCTGGCTGAAACCTGTTTCAGGTGGCAGAGGGGCAAAGCAGACATAGGTAGCCCCAGATGCCTAATGCTCGTTCCTCCTCTGAATCTTATATTCACTAAAGGGAACATAGGACCTTAAAAGCAAGCAGGCCGTAGATGAACTCCAACCCTTGCTCTCCCAAGTAGGCTGACCTGGAGTGCGAAAGCCATGACTAAGGTCTCTCCATCATTTACTGCCTACGTTTTTTTTTGTTTTGCCAGTCCTGAAGCTCAAACTCTGGGCCTATGTGCTGGCCCTGAGCTCCTTTTTGCTCAAGGCTAGAACCCTACCACTTGAGGCACAGTATCACTTTGGGCTTTTTTTTTTTTTTTGCCGGTCGTCGGGCCTGAACTCTGGGCCTGGGCACTGTCCCTCAGCTCTTCAGCTCAAGGATAGTGCTCTACCACTTGAGCCACAGCGCCACTTCCAGCCTTTTCTGCTTATGTGGTGCTGAGGAATCGAACCCAGGGCCTCATGCATGCAAGGCAAGCAGTCTACCACTGAGCCATTTTCCCAGCCCCAACTTTGGGCTTTTTCTATCATTAGTTGGAGATAAGAGTCTCACAGACGTTTCTGCCTGGGCTGGTTTCAAACTACGATCCTCCTCAGATCTCAGTCTCAGTTAGTTACAGGCGTGAGCCGGGCTCACTGCGTAGTTTCATCTCAGAGCCTTGTAGGGTGACAAAGGAGCTCTGAGACCACAGATATAAAATACTGCAGGACCACAGGAGGAGCTCAGTAGGAGAGGATTGCCTAGATAAGCAGAGCCCTGAGTCCCATCCCCAGTGCCACGAAACCCAAACTCAAACCCCTTGGTAACTGGGAGATTTTTGTGTATAACAATGGGACCAAAAGAATGCAGCAGAGCCTGGCACCGCCCGGTGGCTCTCACCTGTAATCCTAGCTACTGAGGAGGCCGAGATCTGAGGACCACGGTTCAAAGCCAGCCTAGGCAGAAAAGTCCATGAGACTCTTATCTCCAATTAGCCACTAGAAAACCAGAAGTGGCGCTGTGACTCAAGCGGTAGAGAACTTGCCTTGAGCTGAAGAGTGCAGGGACAGCGCCCAAGCCCAGAGTTCAAGCCTCACAACTGACAAAAAAAAAAGAATGCAACTGAGCAGGGAATCAGCTCAGGCAAAGCAACTTCCTTTCCTCTGACTCTGTAAGACAAGATTCCAACCCCCTGGCTGAGAGGC